TACACTTACATTTTGTTAGTGTTTTTCTAGAGAATTTCTCAACTTTGGTAGTTAAATAAGTTAAGTAAATTGTATAAGGTCCAAATCTCTTCTACAACTAAACAATTCAGGTGGCCTAGTGGTCAACATGCTGGATTATAAGTTGTAAGGTCCATGGTTTGTGCCAAAGTACTGTTACACTTTTGGCTGTGGTGTTAGAAAAGCAACAGTAAATCCCATTGTTCAGTTCAAAACCCCCATGGGATTAGGTACACCTGACTGGATATTTTCTATCTAGTTAGTAGATGAAACGATACTTGAATCTTCACTGTTTAAGACCAGGTCATTTAGCCCATGTGTTGAACAGGTTGTTAAAAAAATCTACATAACTGAAGTTTTTGGAATTGAATTCTAATTGTATGAACCAATCAGCATTGTTGTGTTTCTGCGTTAACTGAATCTTTTATTATTATGGATGGATTTTGTCTGTGATTGCATCAGCATAAGACAGATGTCACCACGTGCATAAAAAAATCAGTTACATAGAAACTTAAAAACAATCATTACTTTCAGTGTTAAGACATGAAATACCTTCATTCAATTTAACACACTTTTATTTCAATTAGTTATTAATTTTTTATACCTTATAGAAAACTCAATCCTAAAAAACTTTCAACCAATTCAGCTAGCTTAATAAACATTTTGCATGCAATAGTATTTTTGAAAAAAGTGTTGAATAAGTTTAAGAGGAAAAAATAATAAAAAAGACTAGTTGTGTAAATATTTAAATGTATTGGAAGCATTTTATTTTTCATTTTCTAGTGATAAGTTCCTGCTGTGGTCTCGATGAAAGTTACATATAACATAAATTGTGATTGGTTATTTTAAAGTCAATATGGTAAGTTTAGAAAAACATTGCTTTGCAGTGAGTGATAACCATGAATCTCAAGAGATAAATATACTTCTGAAAAGAGAAAGAAACTTTTTATCAACTATTAGGATTTGTAGCTGAGACTATGTTGTTATGGCACTGTTGTTAACCAGTAAGACATGGTGAAAAATGTGAGAATAATTTTGGGTGCCTTGTTTGAAGGTATGAAAAACTTCTGTACATTTTTGGAAGAATTTACACCCCGCTGAAGAATATTTAATAAACTGATTTTCATAATTTTTCTTTTACAAAAATTTAAACACTTTGTCTACTAGTAGCCAAGAACAAGAATACATAAAATGTTATTAAAACTTGTTATCCATTATGGGATTAGAACACTTAAAACTGCCTACAATAACAAATGATGTTTAGGAAAAAATGGTTCCAAACCATGTACATGTATTTTGCTGTCCGTTTTAAATGACAAACAAAACTACTACTATATTTGTTTTTTTAAAGACTCGTAACTAAGGTAATTTAATATGTAGAATTATCCATGGATTATTCTTTTAATTGCAAGCTTTCAGCCTTCTAACCAGCTTTTATCAGGCAACAATGTAGATTGTTGCCCAACGAAGGCTCCTGTAAGAGGGAAGAAAGTCTGCAAATCGATGTATTTTAATGTATAAAGAACAGTCCATGTATAATTCTACAAACTACTACTCTTGTCAAAGTTAACTTAAACCTTTTTAATAGTGTTCATACTTTTATATGCAAACAATAAAAATTAATTTATTTGGAAGATAAACACCTGAAAACCAAGGTTTTTAAACTATACAAATCATCTTTGCTGGGCGGAAGGTTTTATCTAAGAGAAGAAGAAAGAAATTGTCGGGCACAATCTACAGACCGTTCCGAATACCAGTTAGTTTATCCCTTTGAAATATGGGTACTGTTGGGTCTTGATGATGTTAACAGAGAAAAGTCAACTATGCATTAAGTATAAAAAAAATAATAATTTACAGATCTTTAACTTCAATATTTACAACACCATTAGTATATCTATAGTTTCAACCTTGGACAGTTGTGATCCACCATAGGGGTTACTTACTCTAAACGATTATTTTTCTATTTAAAAAAGAGAGAGAGAGGGGAAAAAATAATTGTATCGGGTACTGTATATACAAAAATTGTTGAAAATTCTGGCACTTTGAAGCATCCAATAAACCAACTTGAAGATGCAAGTTATAAGCCATAACTATGGCATCCCAAACAAAATATTTTCTGAAAACAGTTATTACCAATTTAAACCTACTGGTAGATCAAACCAAACAATCTACAGAAGACTAAGACAGTTTTCTGTTCTGTATTGAGAGAAATATTTAGCTGACAGCTGCTACCATTCCTGACTCTCTGACGTGCCAAATGAAGAAACCTAGAAAGAAAAAATGAATTCAATTATTAAAAGGAGAAAGATGTAAAACAATGTTATTTACACATTAACTATGTAACTCTTCCTTCTGCAATTAAAATTACATGTCTATATCAGGAGCAGAAATAAGGATATGATCATTGGGGCTCAAGGGACCCCTAGCTCCACGATTATGGGGCACAATCGTAATATGCCAGAGAAAATAATTAACTAATACATTTTTTTTTGGTTTATGATTATAGATTTTTGTTATATTAATTACTTTGAACTGTACAGAAATATTTATTTTCTCTAATAAATGAGATACTTGTACTCACAAGCACAGTTGCCTATGATACAATATGCAATGACCTTTAACGGTAGGGAAAATGAGATTTAAGAACTATAGAAATATTGAATAAAAGTCTAAAAAGGTATAAATTTTATTGTATAGGTCACTAGTTAGGCATCATTTGGAGTACTGGGATTATTACTGGACTCCTTATTTCAGGAAGGACATTGAACTGTTGGAAAGGTTTCAGAGGAGGGCTCTTAGGATGGTACCCGAGATGAAAAGGTTGTCATATGAGGACAGGTTAACATCTCTTAAAATTTTCTTTTGAAAAAAAAAGAGAAGTTAGAGGGAATCTCATTGAGGTGTTTGATATTATTAAGGGAATTGACAGTGTTTGATGCATTATATTTTTTTTATTCAGTGATGAAAATTGTAGAACAAAGAGACAGAAATATATATTTTGCATGTTAGACGTCACCTTCAAGCTAAGAGTTTTATTTTTCTAACAGGGTGGTTGGCCTTTGGAATGAATTGCCTTCAGATGTGATAGATGCAGTAAATTTAAGGAAGTTTAGGAGAAAGCTAAATAAATATTTGAATGATAAGAGATGTCTTTCAGTTTTTTTTTTTAAGTTTAGTTTAGCTGATAGGATGGACCAACATTTTAAGTTCTGATTGTGCAAGATTTGTATTTTTGATCAGGTTACATAATTATTTAAGTAAGCAATAAAAATGTAGGAAAAGAAAAGCACAAATATAAACATCTTAATGAATATAAAACAAGTTAAAATTGGATATGTAAAATATAACTTTTTGGCCAATAATAAATAAAATATAACAAGTTTTTCTTCATTTTTTTAAAGATAACAGTACAATTAATATACAATTTTTTAATTTATACAAATGTTACAGCAAATAAAGGTAAACAAACATTTGGAACAAGCAAAGTTATGAAGGAGACAAGTACTTTCAAATATAATTTTCTAAGCCTTGACTTGCTAAAACATCACTGCCTATTTCTGCTGTCTTATCTTAAATTCAGTGAAGCAGATATACCACAGAAATAGTGAGAAGTCATAACAGCCAAACAGGCCCACCATTGGGAAGTTCCAGAGGTCTTTAGGAATTCCTGGGGGTTTGAGCCCCTGTTTAGATGTACAAATACAAAAGTACCTTAATACAAATATATTAAAACTACCTTAAAATGTTTTGTTTCCCATATACATTACATTTTTCAAAGAAACCACTAGTCAATGAAGTTCTGGAGAAGATAGCTGGATGGTTAAAAAGAAAATAAAGAAACTTTTTTTTTAATTAGTGAACAAGAAAGCTTCTTCTAAATCTTTTCAGCTATCAACTTTACTCTTTCTCTAAACAGCCATTATCTGATAACTATGTTTCAAGGAAACTTGTAGCTTTATGTCAACAACTGTTGCACATATATGCAAGTTTTAGCAAGATATTACACCGTATCTCACTCGTGAAATTATTGAACAGAAACTCGTTACATAAAATTCAATAATGGCTTATGAACAGTAAATTTGCTTTACGTATGTGCAGGACAAAGTGCTTGTTTACTTACTTGACGTAACTGGTACAGTTTATTCAAAGTATTTGTCAAAAGGGGGCGAACAGTATTAATTTCCATTAAAGTAAGGTGATCAAGTTTAGCATGGGTTTCTTCTCCCTTGATAAATGCATCAATGGAACTTCGTAATTTCGCCATTCGGATATCCCAGATGTCTTTTATCAATGTTTGAATATCCTCTGCATGAGGAATATCCATAGGAGCTATACTCATGAGTAGCTGAGTAATTTCTCTGTAATGTGGACTAGGCATGGCGGTAAAAAATTTGTTGTTGTATTCTTCTTGTTTCTTCTCTTCTAAAACGTCTTTGTTCATCCAGTCAAGAGGTAGCAATCGACACTTCTGTCTTTGTTTCAAGTTAACAGCTAACCATAAAGGCACTTGGACAGGCAAACTGGGAACAAATGGACCTACATCTCCAGATATTAAATAAATTTTCCCGTGAGAAAAATTAGGGAAAATTGTAACAAGTTCTTTCTCAGCAAGAAACTCAACTTCTGCTGGAGACATTATACCAACTCCAAGCTCCCTGAAAGTTAAAAAAAAATTTTTTTTTTTCTTTCAGATTTGAGGTATACAAAATAATATTCCCATTCATTTTCCATGTTAGATTTTTAAAATTTTAAATATACATTATTACCAAGTAGTTTTTTGAGACAAGATAAATATTTGGAGATCATTGGCCTGATTAGGTCTATGAAATATTATTCTGGTACTGTACCATTATCTTACAATATTTTAATTCATAACATTTCTTTAAAAAAATATATTAACTAAGACCTCTGTTTTATAAAATTCTAAATACTTGTTCATTATAATTGGAGTTAACTCTTATAAGTTGAATGTATTTTGTTTTGTCTATCTTAAAAGCACCAGTAAACTCATAAAGAATTTAAAAAATCAAACAGCATTAAATACAACAATGAAAGGGTTCTTTACTATTACTAAAAAATTCTCAGTTTCTTTATTTGTAAATAAACACACTTCTAAATCATACAAGCCATAAACAAACTGACTTACAAAGCAAAGGATTGAAAAAGTAGATTAGTACGTTGGAATCATAAAAATACAAACAAGGTTTGGACATATTATTATACAAATATAAATGACAACATGTAACTAAGAAAAGAATGAATATCAGGACATTTTATATTTATTAAACTTCCCTGTGTTATCATGTGAATTAATATAATAAAGGATAATAAAAAGTCACAATAAACTTTAAGCTGTAGTAAAAATTTAATGTTGATTGCTAAATAAGGCAGTCATATGAACATCTGCATTCCACAGTTCAAATTCCAAATATAAATTACATGACAAGTTAAAATTAAAAAAAATATAGCTTGTAGCAACAACAAAAACCAAGCACATTTTTTACTATGATAAAGAGAGGGGGGGAGCCTCATTAGATACTGAACCTTAATATAATGATGGATAATGAGCTTAATGCAAGTTTTAATCAAAGTTAGACAAACAAAAATGGTCAATGGTACTGTTAATGACAGCATGAAATTTAAAATGCATGCCCCTTTTCTATATACATTAACCATCTACAATGACATAAGGCATGATGACCACCACACAAAAGCTTGGGTAGAGAGATCCGTAATTTGTAAACAAATATCCTGTGTCTCTCTCTCTTTATATATATATATATATATATATATACACACATGCACACGTATATACTAATACAGAATACTGTATGTTGTACATTTCTTCATATGCCATTTTGTTTATAAATGTTCTAATGCAATTTCAAATATGTACATGTATCAGGTTTTTCCCGATGAAACAATACTGCCATTAAACTGAAGTAAAATTTCCTATTCTTTTTGTCACTGTGCTGTGCAAAAATAACCACTAGTACTGATCACAAATTAATATTTTGTAATTTACTTATTTAAATGAACATTTTAAAGTCATTTTCCTAAAAACTAAAAATTTTCACAAATTTAAAGTGGAGTATTTCTGCTGAACTCCTGGCGGTTTTAAAAATTTCGTTTTATGTTACGTAAACAATATATATATTTCCAAACAAATATAACAAATATAAGTGATTTTCGCACTTTGGCATTTACACTAACACTATAACTCAGTGTAAGTTATAACTATACGCATAGGTAATTGATGTAATGAAGAATTACACTGGACAGTAATTTCATTGTGTACTATTACTACAGTTCAGTTTTGGTACTATTATTTATCTGCAGATAATATCAATAAAAAAACTTACGGATGGTTATAAAATACTTACATTGCTATCAAGAAATATGTCAAATGTCACATAATATTTCGACAATTCAACTAATTCGTGAATGCTTTATTACGACGTAATTAGTTATATTTCGCGCCACATTCAAGTATACTTCACCGCTAGATAGCAGCACTCACTAAAATTACAAAAAGATATTGAAAAATGAATTAAAATACAGCAGCAAAATTGATAGATAGAATAAATTCAATGCGATTTTTTAAATCAGTACTTAGAAAACTGCGGAAAATAATAGTTATTTTTCATGTTCCAAATCATATGTCATGCAACCATTATAGGTGATAACTTTAAAATCACTGATTTTAAGTTTAAAATGCAAATAATAGTAATAATAATTAATAAACTGTTCGTAGTAAATATTTCGCCTAAAAACTATTCAATAATTTTTATTACATTTTAATTAAACATCGTTGCTAATATTGAAAAATAGGCATCATATACAAATATAATACTAAGATTGTAATAAATATACAGATTTTGGCGTATTAAGGTAAAATTATTTTCGCAAATATGTTACTGTTTTAGGCTATATTTTTAATATTTTGATCATTAGAAGATTTTCTACATAATGTGATAATTATATGAAATATAAAAAATCATGAAAGTTTAGACCTCTGTGGAATCTAGAGCTTCCTGTAGTATGTATAAAACTATTATAATATAAAAATGCAAAAGGTTTAGTGAGTTAGACAATGAGAGTTAATAAAGCTGTTCATCAGTGATGGAGTAAGTCAGTCAGTGTATTTCTTATCAATAGATTAGCGAGGAAATTTTTGCAAGTAAATTAGGTGAGTATTAGCTTCAGAATTTCTGTTGAAACTTTGTTTGCGAAATTAGGACTATCAGTTAGCATAGCCTGTATAAAATGTTATTGAAGAAATGAATTAATTCGTTATCGATAAGTGAATTGGAGTTCACACTGTTTTTATCCGCCCAACAATGTTTCGCAGAGCTACTAATGTGTACATTGTCACTATTATGTGTTGGGTATGAACGAAATCAGACCTTACTAAATTCATCTTGCCTCACCGGAAAATGGCCATCTATAAATGTCGACATTTTGCTAATCCATTCTCCATTACAATTTATCTCGAATTTCTTTTACTATATTAGACTTTTTACATCTTGAAATTTGAGGAAAACTGAAGGGGGTTGGGAGGGGGGAGTGAATGTGTCATTAAATTAAGAATATAGTGTGAAAGTATTACTTTAACTTTAAGTTTAATATGATTTAAACATTGAGCCAAAAAAACATTGAACAGAAATATTGAGGTTCTTGAAAATATTTTGCACAATACGTTTAAGCCAATAATCCACAAAATCTAAATCGGAAAATGAACAGTGGACGGGTCAGTGAAAGAGGTCATTTATCCTCAAATATATTGGATAACATCTTGTTTGGTATGATAGTGAATGTAATATATATCACATATTTGCGACTATGAAGGTTAGAGGCTTATGTACACAATCTACCACGGTTTGACGGTGAAAGGTGAGATGAGAGTAACGCAGAGTCAGATAATCGGAGATCAGTATTTGTTTATTTAGTTAGGCTGTGTCAAACTTTTGTTTTACTTCCACTATTAGTATTACAAATGTTTCTTTCAGTTTCACTACCTGTTTAAATTTTAATTAAGCTATTTCCAAACTTTATACTTGTAGTTCTTTGTCAACAGTTACCCTAGGATTACTTACTTAGTACTAGTAGTAACCATTACCAACACATTTTGGCGTTAAACGTAATATTAAAATATTAATGGTAAGCTTTAAGATTAAGATCAACATTTTGAAAATTAAAGTTTTCTAGACATGTAAATATCTGCACGTTGTTGCTGTTAGTATCTTTTTGTAGGGTTTTGTTGTAGTAGCCCATTAATTTTACTTACCACTAATATATCTTAATTCATGTAGGCGTTTTAATATATTATTAATATGTGACTGTAGCGTTACAATTAAATATTCTGGTTATTTATTTATTTAATAGTTGATAAATTTATTTTCTTCACCTAAACCGTAAACGTGGAGTTTTGGTGATACGACTCTTAAGCTATCCAAGCAATGGCTGTTGATAGTAACACTGACAGGGCAAATAGGATTTTACAATTTTTAGACCGTAATATTGAAAGAAATATTGACTACAAGTCTAAAGAAGTTATAATACCATTGAATAGGTAATTGGATAGGTCACGTTTCAAATATTGTATTCACTTTTGGGCTCCTTATCTCAGAAAGGACATTGAATTGATGGAAATACTTAAGAGGGTTAATAAAATGATACCTAGGATGTAAAGGTTATCATATGAGAAAAGGCTAAGATCTCTGAACTTGTTTTCTCTTGAAAAAAGAAGAAGAATTATAGTGAATCTGATTGAGGTGTTTAAGAAACTATACCCTTAAAAACAGCCCTTATCATTCAAATATTTATTAAGCTTTCCCTTAAACTCACTTAAATTTACTGCCTCTACAACATCCAAAGGCAACCAATTCCAGAAGCTGTTAGAAAAAGAAATTTATCTTAGCTGAAGATGACTTCTTCCCTGCCAATATTTGTGTCTCCTAAGATTGTGCATCAACACTACCAATTCCCATAATAATAATTTAATGAGTAGGACAGCCTAGATGGACCAAAAGGTCCCTGACTGTCCTTCAATGTTATGTTAATCTAATGTTAGTTGTAACTTGCCTTATGAAGAGAAATACTTAATACCATAAACAACAGTATAAGAACTTGCATTGGGTAAATTATGTAACCTGTAGACAACAATTAACCTTTTGGTCATTCCTAGCTGCCCTGGCATGTCCACTCTTGAGACAAGAAAATTTAAACTCATTCATTACCTTTCAGAAAACCGTTAGTTTTCCTTTTAAACTTCTGTAAAATGCTGGCCTGCACTACTGCTGATGGCCACTCCTTTCAAAAGCCAATCACACTGTTAAATAAATAATATTCTTAATTGGGGCCTATCCTGTCTTTTCAGAATCTTCAAATTGTATACTTTCATTCTATTATCTTCAGAATATCGCACAAAGAAATTGGAGGCCTTAATACAATCAGTTCCAAAGATAATCTTGTAGACTTCAATAAAATCATCTCATATCATGCTTTTCTCAAGAGAAAATAAGTTGAGAGCTAACCCTTTCTTCCCCCAGATAATTCTAGTAGCCTTCCTCTGAAATGTATCCTGTCAGTTGTTATCCTTTCTTTGATAAAAAGACCAAACTGTACACAGTATTCTAAGTGAGGCCTAATTAGTGATTGTATAAAGAGATGATTATACCCTTTGATTTGTTGTCAAGATATCTATAAATATACCCTAAAATTCTAATCAGTAGAGCACTTCTTCTACAGCTTGAGTCATTATCCACCAGTTTTTCTTCAGTCACCCTGTTGAGTTAGGTGCAATATTTATTAAACATGTGATTGTGATAACTCGTGCATTACCTGTAACTTATAATTATAGGTCATTTGCCAAATATTTGTCTAAATTACCAATTAATCCAAGTCGTTCTGTAGTAACTCAATCCTCAGTACAGCTAGAAATACACAGGATTTTTAATTTAGTCAACAAATTTTACTAATTACATCCTTGATATCATTAATTAAAAAAAAAGAAACCTCAAAAGCCCAAGAACTGACTAACCCCTGAGGTATTCCATTAGTTCTAGTAACTAGGGTCCAGTTTGATTGGAATTTTAGTAGTAACCTTTTGTTCTTTCCCATCCAACCACCTTACATTTCAGTTAGCCAGTCTTTCCCTAACCTATAAAAATTAGATTTGCTTAAGTTAATGTTTTGTTTGACACCATAATTTATCAATTTTTGAAAATCTAAGTACACTAAGACCACACTCTAAACTAGAATGGAAAAAGCTAAAAGATTAATAAGGCAAGATTTTGCCTTAGCGAATCCATGTTAGTTTTTCTTTATGACATCATATTTCAATTGATAAATTTGAAAAGCATCTTTTGACAGACTAGATATTTTCCCACTACAGAAGTAAGACTAACTTGTCTATGATTTCAAGGACAACTCTTATAGAAACAACATAAGCAATTCTACAATCCTCGGGCACCTGTCCACTCTGTTGATCTACCAAAAATGAAAAGAAAGAGAATTTACATAGCTGACCTTTGACCTCCTTTAAAACCTTGTCTGGCTCTGGTACCCTATCTGCTTTCAGTGTTTCAGTCTTTCTAATTACCACCAATAGATTACTATATATATATGATTCAGGTCAATTATAGTACATGAAGTAAAAAATCTCAGGATGAGGAATATTGCTAATATCTTTTGTAAAAACAGGAGAGAAACATTTATCCTTTCAGCCATCTCATAATCTTCAAAAATATCACCATCCGTCAAGGACCAAATCACCATTTGAATATTTTACTTTCCTTTAACATACATGCGTAAAATCCTTGCTGTTAGCTTTAACATTATCAACCATCTGTTTCTCATAAGCCCTTTTGAATTTCTTAACTATATTTTCCACCATATCCCTAGCTTTTCTACAGTACTGTGAATCTTCCAATCTATTTGTCAGTTTAAGCTTTTTAAATTTGAAAAATTTATCCTTTATGTCCTCCCTGTTATCCATTTCTTCTTTTTAGGAACACGCCTGTCTCGAACTAAAAGCTTTATTTTTTATTTCCCAAACCTGTCCCATATCAACTTGTCCCAATTCACTAAAAAATATATCTTGTCTCGTGGCCTCAAATTTGCCTTCGTGAAAGTTAGGAACCAAGAATTTTATTCCGTTTTATCTCAACCTAATTATGCAATTATTGCTCTCCCCTAAGCGTTTTCTCACTTTATATCTTGCAAGCGTATCGTCGTGTAAGCTTATTAGAGATTGTAATACTTAAAACTAGATGATTTACAAAAAATCTGTAGGCAGTATAAGACTAGAGAACACAAGTTTATATATCTTTTAATTGTATACCTGCATGTAAAGTTGTAGAAATTTGAAATTGCAAACTTGGTATTGATAGTAATTATAAATTTTCATTCCAGGTACATTCACTGATGTTACTACTTCTGAGAAATGTTGTTCTTGTGCATCTTGAATGCTCTTGAATTCTAACTAGTGAGACATGAATTTTTCAAAGCATACCGACAAATGAAGCAGTGTTTACATTACACATCTACAAGTAATGTGAAAACAGGCCATGCATATTTCTCTATGTTAAGAATGTAAAATGGAAAAATCAGTATTTTTTTCGGGAGACTTTAAGTCTGAAGATGTCGAAATGGATTTAGATGACTCGGAAATCATTCAAGCTGAAAACATCACTGATCAGAAACTATCAACCCTGGATATGCACACTGGGGAAGCTAATGTATCTACTCTTTCAGAAGAGAACACTGCCCATTTTCAGGATCACCAAGGATCTTTAAAATCAGTGTTTTGCTCGGAGAACCCCGATTGTGGAAATTTATTGATAATTTTAAATAATGATTCAGAAATGAAAAATGATGACAAACAAGCAAGCAAACAACTCGGAGATTTAAAAATGCACACTGAAGAAAGTAGTGCAAGTAATATTTCACCAGAAATTCAGTATAATTTACCAGATCTTCTTGGGTCTTTAAACTTTGAGGCTGTGAGTTTAGCATTAGAGGACGAACGACAAACCACTGAATTCCGCCACTCAAGGCAACATCAGTGTGAATCACGTTTCCAGTATTCTGGCATCTTTGAAGAAAGTAACATTTTAAGCAAAACAGATTTTCCGAGTGCTGTTAAGAGCAAAACATCTAGTGATGTACACGTGTCTTCATATGAAGTTCTTGATAATTCTGATAGTATAGAGCAGGCATCGTGCGCTAAGCGTAAAATGGAAGTAGAGAAGTGTACGGATGTTCTTCCAAAATTAACTGGACCCACAGAATTAACGAAAGCCAGAGATGGAATTTCTAACAACTTAACAGTTGTATCAGAAAGGAGTTTAAGTATAACTCTTTCAAAAAATGTAAGTAAAAACAACCATAAATTATTAGACAAAAATTCAGTTATGATAAATAAAGTTATTCAAGATAAAAAAAGGAAAAATGCAGAAATTATGCATACGCCTCATCATTTAAAAAAAAAACGAGTGCCAATTTAGCTACGAAAAAGAAAAAACTACCCAAGTCTCTTCGAGAAAACTGTGCTGGTATGTTAAGGACCATGTCGACCAGTGCCAATTTAACTGTGAAAAAAAAAAAGGAATTAAGAAAAATACTACCCAAGTCTCTTCGAGAAATTTGTGCCGATAGGTTAAGGACAATGCCGACCAGAAGTGTTCATGTGCAGTTAACTAGTGATGAACAAGTGAGTGTATTAAAATCTGATGGAACTCCAACAGAAGTTAATTCAACAGTGCTAGATGAAAACGAAGAAAGGTTTAATCAGAAAATTCCTTCAACACTGAAAGCTTCTTTACCCAGTAATAATAAACCCCAACAAACAGTTGGTGATGGAATTAAAATTAAAAATACCTTGCAACATGAAACATTAAACCAAGAACTAAGTGAGAAAAAAAAACATCGTGAATATCCATTCAATCCACAAGTCAGGTATTCAACAATTAAAAGGAAAAAAGTTTGGCAGGTTGGAGAAACGTGTAGTCGTCTTCTGTCAGTATCACCTAATCAAGTCGTGGATGAAACAGCTGATGAACAAAGTATAAACCTGGCTAGTAATACAAGTGGTGTATTATCTCGTGAGTGTTTATATTTGCCTTCCAGCTGTTCCTCACAATATTTGACAACAGAAAAAAGCTCAACTCTATCTAGTAATGTAAATGTACTGTTTGCAAGTACAACTACCATGCCTTGTAGTTCTTTATCTCAAGAGTGTTTGCCTGAATCCGAAGAAAGTGTTTCTAACCGAGAGCAAGGTGTCCTACAAGATAGGCTTCCTACACCGAGTGAAATATGTCAAGAAAATGGATCTACCAGCATTGCTTCAAACTCTGAGCCTTGTGTCAGAAGTAGTTTTGCTCTCTTACAAACACCTCAGCTGTCACCTTCTCAACTGGTCATTTACACTGACCACCAGACTACATGTGAACTTGGTCCTGATGTGAATGGTACACCAGTGTCTGATGAGAAAAATAAAACAAAAGTTATTGAACCCAAAAAAGGACTATTATTGCCAGCACAAACTTTCTCTGTGTCGCCTAGTGATATATCTTGTTCAACATGGCCGGTTACTTCGGAGGCAAACAAGACAAAAGTTATTACAAAGATAAATAAAAGTCTGTCTGTTCCATCTTTTCCTGTGACACTCAGTGTATCTGAACCTCTAGATGGAGATGGATCTTTCCGTATTACATCCAATGAAGAACACAAAAAGTGTGAAAAATTGTTGTATTGTACGGAAACAGTACTTTCAGACTGTGAGATTCCAAAAGAAGATAATAGTGTAAATGTTTCCAAATGCACAAATGCAGTGGAAGATGACTCAATAGATATTAATCTTTTGTTGCAAAAGAAGCAAGAGAAAAATGCAACTTTTGTGAACATCAGGACTAAAGACGAACTGTACCAAAACAAAAGGAATGACATAAATAAAAGAATACTTAAAACCAGTTCTTGCTGTGAGATTCAGGAGATAGTAAGTGAACTTATAGAAAACATTTGTGACAAGATGTCCGTAAAAAATACAACATTAAGTTCAAATACTGAGTTGGAAAAGGGTTATGAGAGAAAAGACATTTTTCGTGAGGTTCAGGAAACAGTAAGTGAACTTATAGAAAAGGTTTGTGACAAGATGTCCGTAAAAAATACAACATTAAGTTCAAATATTGAGTTGGAAAAGGGTTATGAGAGAAAAGAAATTTTTCGTGAGGTTCAGAGAACAGTAAGTGAACTTGTAGAAAACATTTGTGACAAGATGTCAGTAAAAAATACAACATTAAGTTCAAATATTGAGTTGGAAAAGGGTTATGAGAGAAAAGACATTTTTTGTGAGGTTCAGGAAACAGTAAGTGAACTTATAGAAAAGGTTTGTGATGAGTTGTCAGAGAAAAATAAAGCATTAAATATTAATACTGAGTTGGAAAAACGTTGTGATGTAAATAAAGAAATTGTTCATATTTCAGAACAGTGCACAAGATTTCTGTGCCTGTTGTTAGAAAGGGTTAAAACATCCAGCGAAGACCATCATTTAGAAAACATCTGCAAGAAATCTTCAGAAAATATATCGGATAACAAGAAAAAAAGATCTTCAAAAGTGTTTTTCTCAGACAAGAAACAGGAAGTGGTTAAAAATGAGACTACATCCAAAGAAGAGCCAAACAAATGCCAGATAGATTCTCCAATTTTTTTTAAATACCAGAAAAATGATGAAGTTTCAGAATTGGTAGAAAGCTTACCAGAAGCTACTCCTAAACTTCTGATAAATCAAGGAATTGATAGTGCAGATAAACAGGGCCATAAAAGGCTATCTAAAAGAGTTGAAAAATTTTGTGATTTAAAATCAAATGCGATTGGAAAACAAAAACCTAATAACAGTCCAGAGGTTGGTATGTCCATGAATCCAAATTATACTCCTAACAACCATCCAGAAAATCAAAAATACACAAATGTATCACAGGCTGACACCAGTATAAACATAAATAATCGTGAGACAAATTCTTCAAGTTATGACTGTGTTGGAGACGGTGATCTTGAATATTTTTGTGTTGATAATAAAAAAATTAGGCTACTGAAAACGTATGTTCCATTAAAAAGATTGGACATTTTCACGAAGGCCGATTACGATGAAGCGTTTAGGAATGGTGGTGTTGATGCTAAGACTACTGATGCTATCCGGACCAACTTTCACTTGGGTGAAACAGACAAGACCATATGTATGAAAAGCGCAACGAAGAAGATCCTAAAAGAAAATGGCTCTGAAGAAGAATATTGCAATAAAACGATGAGCATTGTTTATACGTGTACTTTGTGCCCAGTCAGAAAATGTAGACAGAAAAGCATAGTACGCCATCTCAGATATGACCATGGTTGTAAGGGTTACTACAAATGTGGATATTGTAAATATCTTTCATCAAAACTCAATAAATTAAAACAACATGTTAAAAGAGACCATCGTGGTAAAATGATGAAATTGTCACTTATGTATAAACCTGAAACTGTGTCCTTAGAAGAAAAGAAAAAGGTTCTGGATGATGAATTAAAAACAGAAGAATCTTTTTTCTCTGCTACAGCAAATACAAACAAAGAGTACATAAGAAGTGTAGAAAAAGAGGGGGAAGGAACATCTAAAATGAAAACAGATAGTAAAGAAAAATCATTAATTAAAGAGTCTAAACAATTCAATGTATTTGTCACAGAAAACTCCAACATCGTCTGTAACAAATCTAAAAAAGAAACCAGAAGGTGTTCTTTAAAAGGGAAATTAAATATTAAAAATGAAGATTCTCAAACCTCTGTGTGTATTGTGAACAAACAAAGAAATGCATCCTCTGTCATAGGATTAAAGAAATCAGATGAAAGCGAGTTATCTTTTGGCAGCAATGAATTAATCAAAAATAAGCAGATTTTATTTTCAAAAATAAAAAGGAATGATCAAAAGGTGTCCAAAAACAAACTCTCTTGTCCTTTCTGTGAATATTCGATTGGTGATCGGTATTCCTTAAGACTTCACATTTTTCGAGAAATAAAGTATCGCAGACTTGCGTGCTCAATTTGTAATGAACAACGTTATGATTTAAAGGAAATTAAGGCTCATTTTAAAAAATTTCATCGTGATCAGAAACTGTCTTTTTGTCAAAGGTATGATCCAGATACAGAAAACTGCATTGAAGCATTTTTGAGAAATAAAAAGAATGATACAGTAGTATGCCAAAAGCTCCCTGCAACTCGTAATCAAACGCTGAAACCACAGAAGACACGTTACAAATACGAATGTGTTATTTGTGGAATTAAACAGCGTGATACGATAGACTTGCAAAGACATTTATATCACCATAAAAAGTATCAGCCATTTAAATGTTGCCATTGTGGTAAAACATACATAAGCTCTTGCAGTGTTAAAAATCACTTACAGAAATATCATCCAGGACTGAGACCTGACTTTAAAATAATCAGAATAAAGAAAATTGAGGAATGGGTGAATAAAATTGTCAGCAGTCAGCAAAGTTCAAAGTATATTGAAAGTGAACATGAAGAAAAGCATCCTGAAAGTGGTCATTTGTTTTGCTGTTGGAAAGATTGTAATTTTGTTACAACCGATAAAAGTAAGCTGAAATATCATTTCATGATGCATTTCTGTAAGAGACATTTTTCTTGTCCTTATTGCCAAGTAGCATGTGATACTGAAGCTGGTGTAAAAAGTCACTGTGATATTGAACACGCCGATGAAAAATTGTCGTCTTCTGCAAAAAGTAGAGAACCTGTGAACCTGAACAAAAAAAAGGAAAAATTAAATCTGAAGGAAGATTAAAACCCTTTACTTGCTGTTATTGTGGCTATACCGTTTACTCGGAAAGTGGACTTAGAATTCATAAATTTTGGAATCATCAAAATGAATCCAAAGAGGGAAAGATACGTGATACCAATGAAATCGAAGATGATCTAACAAGTTCTCAACTAGAAAACTCTACTCGGACCCTACCTTATCAATGTGAGTGGTGTGACACAAAGTTTATGAAACATTGTGAGCTGTTATTACATCTTAGGTCTCACAAAGCATCAAAATTAAGCAACATCACCAGGACTAATGCTTTGTTGAATGTCAAGAATTGTGAATTTAGACCTAAAGTTTCTGTAGAAAATTTCAAAAAGAAAACAAAATTGTCTGATTTCTCTGATAATGGAGTTTTGCATAAAGTCTCAAAAATTCATTGTGATAATTCAACCCTGAAATCTGAAAAACTGTTTGGCAAAAATTCTGTTACTAAAAAGGTAACTAGATGTGTATATTGTAGGAAAAATGTAGCTTCAAATATTTTGAAGCAGCATTGCAAAAAAAAACATCCCAATTTGCCTTGTAAGATAATTAAAGATTCTGCAAAGGAAATCCTAAAAACACCAGTATATTGTGAAAAGGCACTTGAACCAAAAAACATACAGATTCTAGAAACAACCAGTGGAAAAATTTTCTTTGGAGCAGATAGTTACAGTCTTTTCCTCCCCAAAGAAGAACCATATAGATGTGAATATTGCCCGTTGCATTTTGATTCTTTTATATTTCTCCAAAACCACTGGCAGATGGAACATTATGATTGTTCTGTAAATTCTATATAATCTTCTGATCTTTCATTACGCAATACTGTCAGTTTCTTAAAATTTGAAGAGAAAAGTGAAATATAAACACATTCCTTCTGTTATTGGAACTTTTCGGTTGGTTCACCTTCAGTTACCTTTTTGAAAAAGACAGTGAAATATGGGAAAATCTTCAAATTACAGTTTTTTACCCCGTTAAGCCTTTTTTTCAAACAGACATAATATCAAAAATACAAGGATTGGAAATTGAAGTTTTCGACATAAGATTTTTTTTTATGTATTAAAGAAGAAATAGAGACCCCAAACATTTGTGTCATTTTAAAAAAAAAGTGCTTCTCATGTTGATGAACTTGAAACTAAAATCTTTTCAATTTTGCATCTTATCGATATTTGAAGAATTGTATTACTGGACGTTGCTGTTATGTTTAAGTAGTCATAGCTTGTACATATAGTGTGTAGACATGATATGTTCACTAAAACATTCCAGGGAACTAAACTTGTTGGTAATGATTAGTACTGGATATCAGGTAATGTTGGTAAATAAATGTACACTTAACATGTTTGAAAATATATCTGATTGTTATCTGTGATTCTGTGTGAATAATTGTTTTTTTGTTGTTGTTTTTTTTTCATTAATTTTTTTATCTCATTCTTCAGAAATATTTAGTACATATCAAACTATGTATAACTTTGAAGACAACAAAATACAGTGCTCTCAAATGATACGTTGATCAGTTCTTGAAATATTTTGCCTTAAAGGTTTTTCAGGTGATAGACTTTTGGGTACTACAGAGTTTCACTGTTTCGGTTGTGAATTCACCTTAACTTGGTTAGGAAACATTTTCTAACAGTTACTTCACTCTATTTATCAAATTTTTCATAAAATTGTTTACTTAAATTCACAGTTATACACAGATAAGTACACCAATCATATAGGATTTAATAATAATTTTTTTCTTCTTATAGTTATGAGAGTCATAGTTGAAGTGTTTTTTTTTAAACAGAAATTGAATTTATATAAGATTTTTATATATTATGCAATGTATTTGGAATACAAATGTGACTACCGTTCAGAAAGTTTATTGTAAGAACAGTGACAATGAATGCTGTGCCGTAATGTGTCAGAGATCTGTATTGTAGTTGCTTAACAAATTGTTCACAGAATTTGTTAAAAACATTTGTTGTGATGTTTCAAGAAAAAAAGGTTCGATATAACTGTTGTGTTCGAGAGTAATGTAGTTTTCCTTAATGGCAAACCGAACTAATTTTTTTTTTTGAAGTTGTATCTCTTAATAGGTCCA